TATTAGGTGCCTTTTTTTTCCAATCCTCATTTTAGTCTATATATGTGTGTGTGTGTATATATATATATATATATATATATGTGTGTGTGCGTGCGTGAAAGTGTGTTTATGTGTATAAAAATTTCAGATATAGTATATTTGTGAAACAACAATATGAATAAAGACAAAAGGAAAACTTATCTTAGCCGACGCATTTCGTCCTTAATGCCATTTGTTTAAAAAAAAAAATGAAATTTAAGAACGCTCATAAATATTCATCAGGTTAACCGAAAAGACTGACAAGCTATTAAGGATGCGAAGTGACAAACTTCAATGTCTAATAAACGCAGGTGAGTAAATTCTGTTCTTGAAATTATTTAAAAAAAAAACGTGTCTATGAACACAAAAGAGATCTTATACACAACACTTTACCTAATGCATTAGTTATACACAGAAACTAATTCAATGACAACTTTGATCTAAAGAATGCCGAACTTATTAAAATAGAAATTAACTTAGAAGGAAAATTCCCGAGAGTGCGGCTATCGAATCTTATCAAAATATAAATCTTCGTCCCGGAATGTTTTTTTTTCAGATATCTCCATTCCTGTAAGAATTGCTGCTTTCCTAAGACAACATACATGACTATAAAAATGTTTGACATGTTGAAAGAAAACGGTTAAATTTATAACGTTATGTTATTTAAAATATATATAACAAATAAAAAAGAATTCAAGAACAGCATTTAATCACTTTGAATTGTCTCACTTCGCGTCCTCCATAGCTTGCCTGACTTTTCGGCTAATCTGCTGAATATTTATGAGTGTTTTAAATTTAAAAAAATTAAAATATTTTTTCTCTTATGTATAAATACTTGTTACAAAATAAAATGCTTGCATTTGCCTTGATATAGTACCTTAAGGGACGAAACAGGTCGTCTAAGATAAATTTTCCTTTTGTCATTATTCATATATATATATATATATATATATATATATATATATATAGAGAGAGAGAGAGAGAGAGAGAGGGGGGGACAGACAGACAGACAGAGGGAGAGAGAGATAAAAATATACTTTTTCAGTATACTGTATTTATGGGTAGATGTGCTCAATGTCAACTGTTTTGATGAGCTTTCCTCTATGGTAGCTAGACTTTATAAATTTAAGCGTATTACAAAATTGGCGGCAATGCATCATCATTTTACTGTTGAAATGGTTAGATGTAACCGTAAATTCTATACTAACAGTTTCTTCTCTCGGCTTTTTGCTTCCCAGTCAACTTTGATTTTCGAAAACATAAATGAAATGACAATCGCTGTCTTCTGTCTTCTTAATCCCTGTTCTTTTATAGTTATCTCTCTTTAATGGTCATTTTTCTTTCATATTCTCTAACACTCAGTAACCCCCTTGCGTCTTAGTGGTTTTATTACCTTGGTTGTTGTGAAATTATTAAAAGATAATTGGGTAAATGAATGACAAAATGGAAGAAATTCTGTGTAATGTGCTTCGTCCCCTGGAAGGACTTCATCAGACAAAACGCGTTACACAGATTTTTTCTTCTTTGCTGTGATATATAAACATTTATATATCATATTATCCCATATACATCCTGCTCTATTGCGTGCGACAAAGCCACAATGGCGGCTAAGGCTATCATTTAGAAGAGCAGTATGATGCCAACTTGCTTTAATATTTGCACGCAGTTGATCCCGATGTTCGAGTCGACTTCGATCAAACCTTTGTATAGATGAGAAACAGGACAGGTGCCAACTCCCTCGCTTTGATGCTTTACTTTGCCATGAAGGAAACGGGATGTGGCATCACTTCAAATTGTCTTTGAGTTTGTCTTTGAAAATGTAAGTGCGGTCTGCCAGCTTACCTGCTTGTTACAAGAGTTTTTGAAGTTTTCTATCGCTTATACGAGAAAGATATCCTGCCCATCTAAATTGGATTTTCATTAGGATGGCTTCAATACCCGTCATGTTGCATTTAGTCATAACGTCACTGTTTCCAATGCGATCAGTTTTCTGCTACAGATGGTACGTAGGCAACACATGTGGAAAGCATCGAGTTGATTGATATCCAAGATTCTGCACCATACATTAATGACGTCAGTACTGCCGACTTGTACGCATCAATTTTCGCCTTTAATGAAACATCATAAGTATTCTAAAGCCTGCGACAAAGATTATCAAAGGCAGAACTAGCTACTTCAATCATTTACTTAATTTCTTTGCCCATCTTAGCTTTGTTCAATACAATGGAGACAAGATACGTGAAAGAGGAACGGTTTTCAAGACTTTTCCCTCAACATAAACATTGAAAAGGAACAGCTCTGAGACGGTTACAAATGAAGTGAGGGAGGAGTTCCGTCTTTTTTTATGCAAATGGTTAAACCGAAAGCTTTTGATGCATGAGAGAATTTGTAAACGATCCATTACATATCCTCAAGGATGTGGGCTACAAGTGCACAATCATCTGCAAAGAGCAGCTCATGAACAGTTTGTACAATCGACTTAGTTTTTGCTTTGAAGCGTAGTTGGTTGGACAACACACCACTTGTCCAACATTCTAATCTATATATATATATATATATATATAAGAGTGTTTCATTAGGACGGATCAAAGTAATCAGTAAATAAATCAGTATTATTGGTGAAAATGTATTTATTTCGCTATTGGATCATGTTATTTAAGTCATGGCAATCACGTGTGAAAAATAATATCGCCCAAATGTCCGCCAAGGCTTCGGCGGCACACCTCCACACGATGGTTTACATTTTTGATAACGTCTCTGCATAGTTGCTCCTTGATCTCACCATTATGCCTTATCATCTCATCCTTAAGCTGTTGAATTTTTGTTGGCTTGTTGGCATAGACCTTAATTTTGACATGACCCGAAAGGAAGAAATCTAAAGAGGTCACGTCGCACGATCGTGGTAGCCAACTGACTTCGCTGTTTCGAGACATAATGCGTCATGGGAACTTCTCATTGCATTTCTGTTTGAACGTCCATTTTCGTAATACGCTTCGATAACTTTAACACGTTGTTTAATTGTTAATCTTTCCATCTTTGAAATTGCCAAAGACTTAAGTTTTTAAATCTCAAAAGAAGAAAAAAAATCATTTGACAATTAAACTTAATTCACCTTTAAAACTGGTTCAAGTTATTGAACATCTTTATATATATATATATATATATATATATATATATATATATATATATATATATATATATATATATATATAAAAAGAGGTAAAAAACACCGTATGTTACGCAACTTCCTTCGATTACCAGACGTGGTCAGCCACTTTCGTGTTGTACCTGCGCTTGAAAGTGGAGGTGGGATTATAGCGGCTTTATATATGTGTATGTGTGTTATAATAAAAGGACTGACATAAAATATGCGAACAATGTATGTGCTATGGAATATGTGAAAATCTATGTTTTAATTTTTTATTCTTTTGTCAACGTTTCGTTCAATATGAACATCATCATAACAACTGAGTAAATTAAGGAAAATTTGTTGCCATAGCTACTTTGCTAAGTAAAAACGCTGTAAATAATTTTAAATTTTCAAAAGATTATTAGTTAAATTTTCAAAAAAAAATTTTAAATTAGCCACGTCTGATTTCCACATATCCTATATATATATATATATATATATATATATATATATATATATATATATATATATATATATATATATATATATATATATATATATATACAAGGTATGATGGGTTAATGCGCGTTGTTTGTTTTGATTTTGTCGACTGCACAGTATAATATGGTAAGCTGGGCATCGTCTGCGAGAAAAAAGAGCCCAATGACACAATTCACTCTGTCAGAAATTTGGAAACGGCATGCTGTACTGCTTGGCATTCACGCCGGAAGCTTCAATGCGAAAATTTCAGAGTGTTTGGGTGACAATCTGAGGACAATGCAAATGATTCAGAAAGAGTTGGATGAGTTTAATGGTGATTACGAAGGTACGGCAGCTCGGGAAACTCACTCTGATCGTTCTGGTAAGTAAAGAACACCTGCATTTGTTGGTGAGAGCCTCAGACTCAACACGGACGCCTGCATCAAGTGCCTTGAGGAGGTAGTACTGCCCTGGGTCAAGACGGTAGCTGCTGGAAGGCCCTATGTCTGGCAACAGGACTCTGCACCATGCTGCACAAGCAGGAGAACCCAGTCATAGCTGTCAGATAATTTCTGCGACGACACTTACATCTGACCACCTAACTCTCCAGACTGCGATCCCCTTGATTATTATGTATGAAGCGCAGTTGAATGAAAGACCAACAAAACTCCTTGTAACACCAAAGATGGACTGAAGGCAAGTATTATGGTAGCATTCACCAACTAAATCAAGGAGAACGCACAGAAGAGTTGCAGGAAACCCCGGAGTAACCTGGAGGCCGTCTTTTAAGCCAATTGCGATTTTATTGAATAAATTTACTCTTTAGCATTTCAAGATATTTTTTGTGTAACTTTGGTAAATATATCTGTTAAAATGAGATGTCAGTGTTATTTTCATTTTTGCCTAATTTAGAAGACAATTTATCCCACGCACCCTTTATATATATATATATATATATATATATATATATATATATATAACCAGAACTTTATTTGGGCAGCAATCTCTCTTTTATACAAGTTTCATTAAAAACGACCGACAAGGTACTGTGATTAAGTTTGTTATTTTAATTTTTTGTTCTGGTTGGTTGGCTGTCTTTGTTCAGCGGCATATCGACATCAATGCGTCATTTAATGCCAAAATCTAAATATTTTGTAAAAAAAAAATTTTATTTTTGGGTGATAACAATGGTTTAGTGACGCAAGTTTTACTAATTAACCCATAGCTGGGGAAGAAATTGTGGATCCATAACTTTCCCAATGATATTTGCATGTAAGTGAATATAACGAACCCAACGGGAACTGGAACTCAGCTCTCCGCTTAACAATTATCCATTATCAATTACGCTATCCACACATCCAACCTTAGAGACCCTGGTATTTCCAAGCGATCACCCATCTAGATACTGACGAGGCTTGACGATGCTTAACTTCGGCGATTGAATGGGAATCACTGTTTCAATGTGATATGGCCGCAAACGACTGGTACTGTGTGCTATATTTATTCTTGTATAAATACAAGAAATTTAGCATATAGCCAAAGGCTGTATAGGGGCGGGCTTGACAACCCAACAAGAGTGCAGATTAAAAGAATCCCAACTAGAATGCAGTTTTATAGAGTCCCAACCAGAGTGCAGTTTTATAGAGTCCCAACTGGAACGCAGTTTTATAGAGTCCTCACTAGAGTGCAGAATTAAAGAATCCCAACTAGAATGCAGTTTTATAGAGTCCCAACTAGAACGTAGTTTTATAGAGTCCCCATTAGTGTGCAGTTTTATAGAGTCCCAACTAGAACGCAGTTTTATAGAGTCCCAACAAGAGTGCAGATTTAAAGAATCCCAAATAGAACGCAGTTTTATAGAGTCCCAACTGGAACGCAGTTTTATAGAGTCCTCACTAGAGTGCAGAATTAAAGAATCCCAACTAGAATGCAGTTTTATAGAGTCCCAACTAGAACGTAGTTTTATAGAGTCCCCATTAGTGTGCAGTTTTATAGAGTCCCAAATAGAACGCAGTTTTATAGAGTCCCAACAAGAGTGCAGATTTAAAGAATCCCAAATAGAACGCAGTTTTATAGAGTCCCAACTGGAACGCAGTTTTATAGAGTCCTCACTAGAGTGCAGAATTAAAGAATCCCAACTAGAATGCAGTTTTATAGAGTCCCAACTAGAACGCAGTTTTATAGAGTCCTCACTAGTGTGCAGTTTTATAGAGTCCCAAATAGAACGCAGTTTTATAGAGTCCCAACCAGAGTGCAGTTTTATAGAGTTCCAACTAGAACGCAGTTTTATAGAGTCCCAACTAGAACGCAGTTTTATAGTGTCCCAACTGGAACGCAGTTTTATAGAGTCCTAACTAGAGTGCAGATTTAAAGAATCCCAACTAGAATGCATTTTATAGAGTCCACACTAATGTGCAGTTTTATAGTTTCCCAAATAGAACGCAGTTTTATAGAGTCCTAACCAGAGTGCAGTTTTATAGTGTCGCAACTAGAATGCAGTTTTGTAGTGTCGCAACTAGAATGCAGTTTTGTAGTGTCCCAACTAGAGTGCAACTTTAAAGAATCCCAACGAGAATGCCGTTTTATAGAGTCCTAGCTAGAATGCAGTTTTATAGAGTCCCAACCAGAGTGCATTTTTTATAGCGGCCCAAATAGAACGCAGTTTTATAGAGTCCCAACCAGCGTGCAGTTTTAAAGAATTCAGATTTAAAGAATTCCAACTAGAACGCAGTTTTATAGAGTTCTAACTAGAGTGCAGATTTAAAGAATACCAAATATAATGCAGTTTTATAGAATCCCAACTAGAACACAGTTTTATAGAGTCCCAAGTGCAGTTTTTCCGAGGTGATGAAAAAAAAGAAAAACAACAATTTAAAAAATCTAACTTCAATGAATATTTGGAAAACGCTGCTCTGTCAAGAGATGCGGAATATTTCTTTATAAAGAAACTGGTAATCATATAAAAATTGTGCTGTCTCTTCCTTCCTTAGTTTGCACGATTGTTACACCTTGCCAACATCTCATAAATAATGGACTATTCCCCTTTTATCGCATGGTAAGGAAAACGACGTATCAGAGACGATACTTAGTTTCATTGAAAAAAAGAAAAAAAAAGACGTCTCCTGCCAATACCTCATAAATAACAGACTAGTCCGTTTTGATCGCGTGAGAAAAAAAATACGCTACTTGGTTTCAGTGAATTGAAGAAAGAAAGAAGTGTTTAATGTTTCCAGCGTATACCGCATAAATAATGGACTATTCCGTTTTGATCATGTGGAAAGACAAAAGATATAACAAAGACGCTACTTGGTTTCAGTGGAAATAGAAAGAAAAAATAGAAGTATTTAATGTTTACTATCAATACCTCTATTTTACTATTCCGCTTTGTTCGCGTGATACGACAAAAGATAAAAAGCTATTTGGTTTCAGTGGAAAAAATAAAAGAAAGAATGGAAGATGGAAGTGTTTAAGGGTTGATTCAATGAAATGAAAAAAAGTTATCAATTTCAAATCTTTTCATTTGTACCCCCTTACTTCTTAAAATAACGACCAGCATTCATACTTATGATTGTTATTGAAATATTTTGTTGAATTCGTTTAGCTCAAATATTTAACCATGCGATAGGGAAATTTCTACGTTTATTTTTGTTGTCGTAGAACTCGCCATGAGTTCATTCAATTATTAACTGAAGTATTAAGATTCATTAGAAATTTGAAATAGGAAAACCGTGAACTTTTCACGGGTTAAAAATAATATGAATCATTTACACTATTTAATCTTAATATTACCATACTGTTTAACTACAACTGATGAAAGTATCAGATATTATATCTTTTAAGTTATCCGAATTTTATGAATGAGGTATTGTCATTAATTCCCGATTAATTTTTCTTCACTATTTATATTGTTCAGACTGTTGTCCTCATGTTTATTTTCACATTCACAACGTTTCAACCGTTGTACGCCTCGGTCTTTTTCAGGTGATATTTGTTTGAATAACCTGAAGAAGGTCGGACCGTACAACGGCCGAAAAGTTGTGAATGTGGCAATAAAGATGAGGACAACAGTCCGAACAATGTAAATAGTGTAAATAAATACAATACCTCATCTCAGAAATATAGACAGATATTGAAGGAGTGAATATGGCAAAAAGATGAGGACAACAGTCCGAACAATGTAAATAGTGTAAATAATTACAATACCTCATCTCAGAAATATAGACAGATATTGAAGGAGTGAATATGGCTACGAAGATGAGGACAACAGTCCGAACAATGTAAATAGTGTAAATAATTACAATACCTCATCTCAGAAATATAGACAGATATTGAAGGAATGAATATGGCAACAAAGATGAGGACAACAGTCCGAACAATGTAAATAGTGTAAATAGTTATAATACCGCATCTCAGAAATATAGACAGATCTAGTTTTTCTTCCATCATTTTTAAATACATTTTATGGTAACGCCCAGGTTGTTTTTCAATTAAATGATATTTAAGTAATCAACTTTCTTAACGGTCGAAGAAAAAAAACAAGAAAAAAAAAAAATATTATTATTATTCTCAGGCAACTGATTCAGCTCAAATTTAGCTTAGTCCTGGGTATGACGATAAACTACAACCTGCAGCAAGGTCTTTGATCGGGAGATTTTTAGTTTTGAATAGCGTGTAAGCACCTTTTAATTGCTGTTGTTCCCAGGTCAACCCTGACCAGGGATGGCAGCACGTGTAAGGGTCCCAGCAAACACCTCTACCAAAATAAATAAATAAACGTTATGTAAGTATAAAAATACATATTTATAGTTTAAATACCAGAAATATATTTTTATATATATGAAATTACAAACAATATATATTCTAGGAGAATTACCAACAATACGTTTTATCTGTAGTTAAAGGTATGCAATTGCATTCAAAATATATAGATTTCGGTATTAAATAACCCATAGAGGTGTTGATATGTCGCTAAACAAAATCACCCAAATCAAATTCAGCTGATGTGATATCGCATTGTCGTTGAAGACAGGGCGAAAATGTTTTATCTTATTAAAAAAGACAATATTTCACATTTATATGAACAGCGAAATAATCTGCCACGTTTACCAGCGCATCTTTACCGTCAATATCTTTAATCACTTAGAATATAGAAGATAATCAGAGAGAAATATTATATAATAAATACGAATTAAACCCCCACGCATAAAGAAAGAAAATGAAATATATATATATATATATATATATATATATATATATATATATATATATATATATATATATATATATATATCTTCGGTAACTATATTTTTTGTTGTTAATTAACGTGGAAAGAAGATAAAAAAGAACAAAACAAATCGATATCTGAATGAATTTGTTCATGCTGACGAAATCTAATTTTGATTCTGTCTTTCTTTCTTTTTGTATTGATCATATCTGCTAAATCTTTTTTTGTTTAGTGTTCTAGTTTTACAAAATTCGTTTAAACCCTCGCACGTTCTTATTTAATTTTTTTTTCTCCAATTTCTGTCGAATCGGTATTATATTGTTGCAGAGTTGGAGTCAGCATACCTCCTTCTCTTCCCTACGACTGTGACAATAGAATGATCCTACTTAGGAATATGGCAAGTAGCCACATTAGAGGAGGATTTGAGTAATAGTTGATTTATTCAATTTTTTCCTTTCTATTTATGAGTATTTAATAAAACTCTTCTTTGTTTTCCTTGCCTAGTCTTCTGTTTCTTCGATTCGCTAACTACGGCCTACCTAATTCTCACCTACTTTGAACAAAGATATTAACTTAACTTTTTATCAGCTTCTAAAACTAAGACGTATTTTCTTGTATACTTCTTTTTTTACTTCTTTCTTCTCTTCCACGCAGTCTCTACTCTTTTTCATCTTATTCTATGTGCCGTTACCAGCGTTTCTCTCGTGGCCCTTATCAGAGTTTTTTCCTTTGCCACGCCTCTTCAAACAAGATATCAGGTAGGGGCCCCGCTATCTCCTTATTTTTCTTTCCCTCGAAATGTCCTGAGAGTGTTAAGTTTTTCAAGCCTTCTTTCCTCATTATATACCCAAGAAATTTCAGCTATTTCTCTCTGATATTGACTATAAACATCCATTTTGTTCTCCATTTTCATTAAGACTTTCTCGTTGCTCACAGGTTCAGTCCATCGTATTCTCTAGAACTACATCTTTGTTGCCTCTTCATCTGTATTTTTCTTACAGCTGATGGTTAGTCCTTTCTTCTCGCTTTCTTTTACTACTTTGTGTAGGGAGTGCTGTAGTTTTCTTTCTGTGTCTGCCATCAATACAGTGTCATCTGCTTATCTTATATTGTTATGGTCACGTCCTACCTCCCCCGACAATAAATCCTGTTAGGGTCTCCAATTCTCTTTGAATAGCGTCGCCCTAAAGGGGCGAATAAATCTAGGGAGAAGACGCTACCTTGTCTCGCGACCCTTTCCATTTTTGTGTAGC